CTGACACCCGTGGCTATCTATCTGGGTGATCTTTCTGTTTTCCAAGAGTATTACTGTGATAAGCTAAATATCTCCCTTCCATCCCCAGAGTATAAATTGGCCACTGGCATGGATTTGCAATTTATATGTTAATTGCATCTGCCTCAAGGGACTATGCTGACCTCCAGAAAGGGAGGTTTAATTGGAAAATATGCAAAGGATGCTCCTGACTTTATATCCAAAGAGGAAGTTCCCTGTGGTCTGTGCAAACAGACGAGAACAGGCAGCCTTTTCAGAGATGCAGCAAACCTCACCTATGCTGAGAAACGTGATCTCACTAATTAGGCATCAGCCTGTGCCACATAATAGCAAAAGAAGCCTGTATAATTACATTTATTCCTAGCCGACAAAGAGAAAGTCCTTTAATCCGGATCCTGCCAGCTTTAACCCTAGGCTAATGATCTGGCACCTGGCAGGATACTGGAGAAGTTCAAAATTTTAAGAGGAACTCCAATAAAGTAATTGTCGGGGTTTCCACACCTCTGACGATGTCACAGGAGGAGATCAAAACCCAGTATCTGAGTAACTGGAGAAAGATGTTCCTGCATGTGGATCTGGTGTGGTATCAGGAGGGCTCAGACCTGCTTGTGAATGACTGGGTCTGCCCAAGACAGGGGTTTCTTGGAGTCATGGCCATGGCTGCTAGAACACTAGCACCTGTTGATCCCTTGCAGATGAACACAAACGAAGAGGTGGTGTTAAAGCTGCACAAGCAGCCTGAACCTGCAGGCATAGGGCAGCAGAGCTGGGTCTGAGCACCCTTCCTAGGAGTCCTGCAAATGCAGCAGGACAGCAAGGACTGATCTACCAGCACCATCAAGAGCTTCCCTGTGTGTTACGGAGAACAGAATGGGAAGGACCTCCCTGGTCATGGGAAGCTGAGCATCTACAATTTCATGGATCTTTAGTTCCCAACAAGCCTAAGGGGACAGCCAGCTGCTGCAAGTTTGTCCTCCCTCTGTCAGTGCCCTTCTCCCACACTCCCTCAGCATCTTAGGACCCTCTGAGGGCCTCCAGCTGCAAACCTCTATAGCACAGGCATGAGCAGGCAGCCACATCGGTGCTGAGCAGAAAGGCTGCATCATTTGTGTACCAACATGGTGATGTTCAGTAATGGTTAGTACACAACAATAATAATGAACTAAAAATAGTTCATTAATAACTCAGCAAAAACTGGTCCAAGATCTCTCAGGCAACAAAATAATTGCAAAGATGCACCCTCTAGGGTCTGGAAACGCTACGGGTAGATGTTTCCACATAGTCTGGCTCGGCCTTTTTGCTCAGAAACCAACGCTGAGATTGTCTGCAACCCCTGCCCCATCCAGGGGAAATTGCTTGCAGGACCAAACTGGTTGGGACAGTCATTTGCCACTGCAATATGGGTGGGAAAGTTATGGCAAAGGGAAAAGAAACAACTTGCCGAAAGTCGTTCAGCAAGTTAGCAGCAGAAAGAGGACCTGATGTCCTGGCTGCTGGCTGTGCTCTATCCAAAAGCCATCGGGATTTGCGTGTACTCAGGGTAAGACGAAAGCAACAAAAACAGAGCTAGGAATGCAGTGAGGTCCTAAGCCTCACAATCCTTGCCTCCTTTCCTGAAAGCCCATCACTTCTACAGGGGCCCTGCAGCATTACAGCAGGACATCTTGTACCTAATGACTGCATTGCAGAGCACACATGCAGGCAAATGAAATTGCTGTTGTGCTGTCATGTCTTCATCTTAAGCCTTCTGTTTATTTACCTTATTTACAGAGGGTTTTTTTTCTTTTATTTGGTTTTAGTAGCATCTCTTTCATTTTAGCAAAGAAAAAAGAAGTGATCGCGTTCTCTATTTCAGATTTCTTTCCTATCTGTAAGTAGAAAAGGCAGCTCTGTACCCTGCAGGATGCCTTTCCTTTGAGAAAGGGAACTAGTCTCCAGCATAGATTAGTATGAAACATGGCAGGAAAATCAGCTCAGTGATTGCACAGATCAGCTGTAGAGCCATGCAGGTCCTTGGGAATCAATGCCTCTTGCCATCATCGCTTCCAACTCACTGAGCTGAGAAGCCACCAGGAATGAGACTGAGACAAAGTCCCACCGAGGACTTAAGCCCTGCGAGAGAGGAAACAACCACTGCAAAGCCAAAAGGAGCCTTCTTTGACCTATTTATATGTCGGAAGTCTGCTCTGGAAGGTCTTCAGTGACATCTGCAATGCGTTCAGAGAGGTTTCACCATCACTTTCAGCCAGTTTCCTCTTGTGCCCAGTGCCCAAGGCACTCCGGTCCAGTTGCTGAAGAGGAACGTCAACATCACTTTCTTTGCTCACCCTGATGCATTCACCGAGCGGCTTGGGGCTACACTGAACGGGACGCTGAATTTGCTCCAAAGTCCTAGAAGCCTCCCTAGAGCTGGTGACAGACTTGCTGGGATTGCAGACAGCAGCCAAGCCTGGGACATCTTACACCTTCTCCCTTAGCTTGGATGGCTAGAGATGGTGCCTTGCTGAGCCTCGCGCTGCCTCTGCAGTTTCATCGCTCCCCGTGAAGTTCGGCTTTGGTTGCAGACAAGAAATTGAATTTCTGCTTCCCTTTCTCTAGCTCTCAGGGCTCTCCCTCACACAGAGGTTAATGATCCCAGCCCAGAGATTGAGTTATCATGTGAATAACTCCTGGACACAGAGCACAATCCCTAAGCACCACTCGACTTTACGTGTCACCACTGATAAACTCTCTTGCCTGCCTCGCTGGAGAACAAGGTTCATTTCTAAGAGCTAATGCAGTTTATGTCGACCAGGATTTCAGCCTTTCATAGAATTTCATTAAGGGTTATTAGCGGCTGTGTAATTACCACCGGAGCAGGGTTTCATGCTCTGGTTAATGAAGTGCCAGTCCCTCTGAAGAGAAGATACATATTTTAATAATGTTTTAAATCTGTGGTGGAAGCAGGCGTAACCAGGCAGGGAGAGGAGAGCGAGACCTGGCTGGAGGCGGATGTTTCATACCCCCGCACCCAGCACACATTGGAAAGCAGATGAGGACAGCTCCGATTCTGGCAGGAACGGTGGAGCAAGGAGGAGCACGACGCCTGCACAGATCTGCCAGATGCGAGCGGGGAACACAAACATCTGCCCAATAAAGTCACGCTGTCCTGGTTCGCTGTTACTGCAGTTTTAGCACCCGCCCCCCCCTCCCCAAAAACACACATGATAACCCAGAGGTTTCCTCAGGGTTGGCGAGAGAGCAGCACGGCTCCCAGCAAGCAGCACAGGGGCCCTGCAGGGCAGCTGGGACCCATGCGATCACCTCCACCATCTGCCCAGCTCTAGGCAAGCTCTTTGCAAACCCTGTGACCCAAATGGCTTTTGAGGTAGGGGAAAAAGACACTGCTTTTTAATCCTCCTAGCCCAGTCATCCCAGAGCAAGGGCTCCACTTTTTCTGCCTTCAAGCAGGGCTTTCAGCTCAAACCGACCACTATACATAAGGGTGGGAAGAGCATTCAGCCATCCCCGTGAGTGCCATACTTAGACCAGAGTAAGCGCCCCCATCTCTGACCCTGGCTCCAGCTAGTTGCCAAGATGGGCATGGCCAAAGATATTACAGTTTTTCACATTTCACAGCAAGGGACAGCTTAGCAGAGCAATGGAGAGAAGCTGACAGACAATCAGGGCCTTAAAAGCCCCTTCCCCCTGGAAAGCCTCAGTCCTGCTCTTCCTGCTGTCCTGTTAGTACCCTGGGGAGAAGAACTGGGTTCAATGCCAGCTTCAGCAGGCCCCTCCGTTCTCCATGCGTGACGTGTTGAGCAGCAGCCAGGTGACAACATCACACAGATGAAGAAGAAAATGCAGCTTTTTGGGAGGTGGCTCCTTGGAGGCAAGCTGCACTTCTGGACAACGACCACCTCTGCGATCAGGCACAGAGATCCACAACCAAGGCCAAGTCATATAGCAGGGATATAGTTTAACACAAAAACGCACCTTTTCAATGCTTTGTGAAAGGACACCATCTAGCGCCCATGGAGTGAGGCTCGAAGGGGACACAGGAGTCAGGAGTACCTTCTGGAGCCCTTTTGGGATCTGCTGGCCTTGGGGAGCAACGACCCCACTCCTGGCACCCGCGCTAGCTCCTTGGGTCATCCTGGGATGCCTCAGCTCCCCAGGCTCAATAATAACCCATAAATAAACCCAGACGCGCCGGTCCTGCACCTGCATCCATGCAGAGGGATGCCCCGGGTAGCGCTGCTCCTAGCCTTGGCTTGATGTCCCTGGGGTGCGAGAGGCATTGGTGCACAAGCAAACAGCTCACACTTGAATACTGAGGGGCTCCTAGATTTTCTGTGATCAGCTGTAGGGTGCCCCATGCTGCAGCAGGACTGGAGCTGTGGGAAGGCTCCGTCCCCCTCACGATGCCCGTTTTCACTTGTGACACCTGAACATCTGATAAACATGTTCTACTTTATTACTCCTAGCTGAATGCAAGAAAACAGTAGTCTTCTCACCCTGTCTCTGGGATGACCTGGCCATCGTCCTCCCCCTCACACCACGCCCCTTGCCAACTCTTGCTGCCAAAAATTACATGAAGCCAGCGAGAACGTGCAGGGCTCATGCAAGGGTCCGGCATCCCCCGGGCACTCTGCTCACAACCTGGTCCCAATGTGGGAGCCGGACTGGTCCAATTGGGCACCAGCAGAGCTGTTTGGGGCAGGCCACTGCGAGACAGGGCTGAGCATTCAGGTCCTGTGTGGGTAAAAAGTGGCAGAGGCAAAAAGAGAAGCTGGGACACATCTGCCCAAGGGAGAGCTTGATGCACGCACTGCCCTAGGTGATGGAAAGGGAACCAGGAGGGGAGAAGAGAAAAAGAGGGGAGGAAAAAAAGAGGAGGACCGAGATAGAAAGGATGAAAAGAGCAGGATTAGCTGCAGTTGAGGCTCTCAGAGCCAGAGCTGGGAGGACAGAAAGGACGAGAGGGACCAAGCCAAGCCCCATCAGGCAACGAGGCTCGTCTCAGTGGTGAGCCGGGGCAAGGAAAGCCCCACGGGGCTGAGCCGCGGGTACTCAGGGACAAGGGAGCCGAGGGGCAGCATGAGGCAGAGGGGACACCGGCCGGGATAGATCCAGGGCCCCCACACTAGAGGGTAGGAGC